CGAGTCATTAAAAAGTCCCAAGACTCCAAGATTATCTATCCTCCCGTTCAGGCAGGAATGCCCAGTGCCTCCCTCAGGGTGGGGGGTTCCTCAATGGGCATGAGGACAAAAACACCCTCCTATCTCACAGGCCTCTTGACATCTAGTTTGTAGCCTGAGGAGTCAGGACCCCAACAACATAAGGATGAAATTCCTGCCCCAGAGCTGTGTCCTCCCAACTCCTGGGAGGCACATTTTGTGTGCCGAGCTGAAAGAGCAGAAATTCAATAATTCTTTGTGAAGTTATTTGAGCAGTTTCCGTCCAGAACATCCCAGGGATGCAGGACACTCCTTCCTGCTTCTAAAATAAAATTGGATAAGTTCCCCTTGCTTTGGTTTTCGGGAGATACTTGAGTTTTAGGTAGCATGGGGGGGGGTTGGAACAAGATGATCTTTAAGGTCCCTTCCAACCAAACCTTTCTGTGGATCTGTGTGAACATCATCCCCTGATGAGCCTGATCCTTGGGAATGTTGCCTGCAGGAGCTGAGGAAAAAGAAAAAAACTCCAGAGCAATTTAATCGAGGATGAGATAAGAAAAAGGTTTAATTTGTGCCCGGGCATAAGATTACAAGACACAGGTGTTACAATTTATAATATTGTCTGTCCAATCCCAAGTGCTTCCACCCCGTAGCTTTGGCCCACCCTCATCCCACCCCCTTGGAATTGGGGCTGGGGCCTTTTCTTCATCATCTTCATCTTCTTCAGAGCACAAAAGGGGTACAGGGTCACCCAGTTCTTGACTGTACTTTTGTGGTTCAGGCCAAGGCACAAATGTCCTTAAACAAAAGGGCCTCCTCTTAAAGAGAGACTAAACATTTTCTGCTGGAACTCAGGGAATATTGATCTGGGAGCATGGAATGGGGCATGTAGGGGGCAGAGGAATGTGTGAACTGCTGTGCTAAAGGGTGGAGGAATAAGGGCTGCTGCTCCTAAAATCTACTCATATCACTACTTGTAAAGCTTATAAAAACTAGAAAACCCCAAAAAACTGAAAGAATCTTAAGGCATCAGGAGAACAAAAACAATCCCAGCAGGATTGGGGTGTTTTTTTCTCTCCCCCTCCCCAAGGTTTCCAGCTTCAGCCACTCTCCCAACGGATCCCCCTATTCCCCGGGAGCGGCGGACGGCGGCGGGATGAGGTCCCACTACCGGTTCTCCCCCATCCTGTACAACAACAACACCCACAAGGATGACTACATCACTGATGTCAAATCCCTGGACACCTTCCTGAGGAACGAGGAGGAGAAGCAGCACAGAGTCCAGCTGGGTGAGTGCCCGGGATTTTGTGGGAACGGCTTGGGAATGGGAAGGGGTCGGTTCGATTCGGGAGCGGGAGAGGGAAATTCCAGTGAACAGAGCATTTGTGGGAATCCCTGGGAGCTTGGCAAACTGCTCAGCAGGTTAGTCTGTGAGGAATGGGGGAACACCAGGGTTTCTGCACATCTCCATGGCTTGGGAGCTTCAGCTTTCCTCCAGGTTATTCCTTTGGGTTGGATCTGAGCTTGGAATGTGAGATGATCCATGATCTCTGTAGCAGTTGCTGGCAGTGATAAGATGATCACCTCGATGAGAGGGGGGTTTTGTGGGGGTGGTTTCAGACAGAGGGGGTGAATCCAGGCAGTTTTTATCCTGGATAGGGATAATCAAGATAAGGATCAAGGGGATGAACTCCCTCCAGGCAGTTTTTATCCTGGAGAGGGACAAAGATAAAGGGAATGAACAACCCCCAGGCAGTTTTTGTCCTGGATAGGGACAATCCAGACAAGGTTAAAGGGAATGAACTCCCTCCAGGCAGTTTTTGCTCTGGATAGGGACAATCCAGATAAGGAGAAAAGGACATAAACTATCTCTAGGCAGTTTTTATCCTGGATAGGGACAACCAAGACAAGGATAAAGGGGATGAACTCCCTCCAGGCAGTTTTTTCCCTGGATAGGGCCAATCCATCCAAGGCTGACTCCAGTGTTTCTGCACAGTGACTCCAGTGCATCCCTTCACTCTGACTTGTGCCTGTGCTGTTGCTTCCAGGATTAATTGGCAGTGATTCTGTGTGTGACCTTAATGATTGACTCATTCCAGGGAGCTCCGACTCCAGCTCCCCTTCCAGCAGCCCGACCTTCTGGAATTACAGCCGCTCCATGGCAGACCACGCCCAGATCCTGAGGAAATTCCAGTACCAGCTGGCCTGCAGGTCCCAGGCTCCATCAGCACACAAGGATGAGGCAGATCTGAGCTCCAAACAGGCAGCAGAGGAGGTAAATCCAGCAGGAAAAGCACCCCAAAGGGAGAAACAGGCCTTGGAAAAGCACAGTTTTGTGCCAAGGTTTGGGTTGGAGCTGTGGCAGGAGAAAATCCTCCGGTGTTTAACCAGCTGCCTTCCTCTGGAAGTAACAGGAATTGTCACAGACCCTAAAAATGTGGGTATTCCAGGAGTTTTTTCCATGTTTCCACAGGTCTGGGCGCGGGTGACGATGAACAGGCAGCTCCTGGATCACATGGATTCCTGGACAGCCAAGTTCAGGAATGTAAGTCCCACCTCCCAGGGCTTTGAAGACAAGGGCAGTAGGGAATTCTCAGCCTGGGATGGGCTGTCAAATCCCACCCAAAGTGTTGGGCATCTCCCTGAATTCCTGGAACGAACAGGACAGGGAATGGAGCCCTCAAAGCAGACCCAAAACTCCACCAGAGCGGCCCCAAAAATGATCTTTATGGTTGGAGGGCCGTGATTCCCAATCCCCCTTTTTGTCCAGGAAAGCTTTTCTGGCAGAGAATTGATTTCCTGCCCTTCCAGGGGGTGTTAAAGGATCCTTTAAGCTCTTGATTGATCATTAAATTAAATTATTCCAGTGTTGGTGTGTTCAGCTGGGACTGTGCCGGGGTCAGCGGGGTTTGTTTAACACTCTGACCTGGAATTTTGCCCTTTTCCTGATGGATTAATGAGCCCTGGAATGTTGCCCCTTTTCCCAGCTGTGATAAACTGAGAAAATGATTCGGGCTAATTAAAAGAAAATCGTGTCAATAATGACCTGGAGAGAGAAAAGACAAACAAATCCTAAAACTTAACTGGGCCCCTGTAAAGAGATAAAACAAGTTACCCTCCCTTTTACCTTGTGTAGGATTTATAGTGAAGGAATTTTGTTTAGTTAAAAATTTATAAAATTTATAAAATTTTTAACTTCTTAAAATTTATAACTTCCTTAAAAATGTATAACTTTATGTAGATAACAAGCAAACATCTGCTGAATGTCTGACTTGACAATATTATTATGGATACTTATAGGTAATATTCCTGTCTAAGAAAAAAACATCTGTTGAATGTCTGACTTAATAATGCTTATGTAATGAATTATAATTAAGTGTAATGCTTATGTGTAATGAATATTCATGAATTAGCTGGAAATAAATGTAGAACAACTGTTTTCTGTGGGTGTGACAGGCATTGGGAGTTGTTGAAACCCCTCCCTGATCACCCAGCCCTGAGTTTGCTTTTATCGTGTAATAAATTCTAATTGGAAATAATAATCAAATAATCAAATAATCAAATGTAATTGGACTCTGGGTTTGTGTTTGTCACCCAGTGGATCAACGACACCATCCTGGTGCCCCTGGTGGAGGAGATGGAGTCGGTGAGCACCCAGCTGAGGAGGATGGGCTGCCCCGAGCTGCAGATCGGAGGTGGGAATGGTGGGAATTCCCGGGGCTGGAATTCATGGAATGTCGAAGGGTGGGACTTCAGTTAAATCGATCACTTCTGTCCCTTTTCTGCTCTTATTTTGGTGTTCCATCTCCTGGAAAGGTTCCTCCTAAGGCTTCTGGGAATGCTGGGGCTGGCACACAGACACTTGGGGAAAAGTCAGAAATGTCTCTTTTTTTGTTGTTGTTGGTTTTTTTCCTTTTCTTTTTTATCCTTCTAAATTTACTTAATTATTTTTATACAGTGTTATAAATTTATATATACATGTATGAAATATATACATGTATGAAATATATACATGTATTAAATATATACATTAAATATATAAATGTATGAAATAGATACAAGTA